ATGCACATGCACTTACAGCACCGCACATGAATCCAAGCTTCTCTTAGAAACAAATTTAATTTTAGCCTTTCCTAGGAGCTGCAATTGATGATGTTCGATGTTGAATGTCACATGGCCGAGTTTTACTCAGACAGTGATTGGAAGCACCTCTAATGGTTGTCAATATGGCAGCATTTAACCCTTCAAGTTAAACATTGTCATTTCTGTAAATTCGGCAATGTTTTCACTTGAAGGGTTAAAATCAGATAAAGTGTCCTGGGTGGTCAGTGGTCCTTTAAACATATGGGAGCTATCACTAAGTTGGGAATTGTGTGAAATGACAGGGAAATAGATTTATTATAAAAATAGCCACGGTAAGAATATGATCAGATCTAAGACAGAAGCTAAGATGTCCAGCTGTTTTTGTCTAACATTAGCAATCACCTTGTATTTCTCTTTTAATATGAATATTTAAACATACTTACAGGATGGCAACAAAGATAACGAAGTGTAAGCACCACAATCACAGCAGCTCATTGTATTGGTTATGATCAGCGGCGTACATACCGCGGTCGCAGGGGTCGCAGCTGCGACCGAGCCCTTCACTCCAGGGGGCCCAGCCGCCCCGCGGACCCCTGCGACCTGGTACCCGGGTGACCCATGCCTCCAGGGTCACCTGATGGATATGGATTGTAAGGAGCCCGGTCAGCTCTGGGCACTTTAACAGCACGACCGGGCCCCCTGTGATTAAATTACAGAGCTGGGAGGAAGTGACCAGACGTCACTCCTCCCAGCTAACACTGAGAGCCGCGTGGAAGGAAGACATCCACCTGAGCCATCACTGGACCCCAGTCACCCTCCTGCACCTAAAAGGTAGGAAACATGAGTGTGACTAAAATATTTTGTGTGTGTTTGTTTGTGTGTGTCTGTCTGTATGTATGTCTTGTGTCTGTCTGTATGTGTTGTGTGTGTATGTGTCTTTGTATGTAGGTGTGTGTCTGTATGTATGTGTGTGTGTATGTATGTGTGTATGTGTCTTTGTATGTGTGTGTGTGTCTCTGTGTCTGTATGTATGTGTCTTTGTATGTATGTGTGTCTTATGTATGTGTCTTTGTACATATGTGTGTCTTATTTATGAGTCTTTGTATGTATGTATATGTGTGTCTTTGTATGTATGTCTTGTGTGTCTGTCTGTATATATGTGTGTATGTATGTGTGTCTTGTGTGTGTGCCTGTGTGTATGTGTCTTTGTATGTGTTGTGTGTGTCTGTATGTATGTGTGTACGTGTGTCTTATGTATGTGTGTCTGTATGTATGTGTGTCTGTGTGTGTCTGTCTGTCTGTATGTGTGCCTGTCTATTTGTATGTATGTATGTGTCTTTGTATGTACGTGTGTTTTGTGTGTGTGTGTATGTATTTGTGCCTGTCTGTTTGTATGTGTGTGTGTGTGCCTGTGTGTGTGTTGGTCTGTATGTATGTATGTGTCTGTGTGTGTCAGTCTGTATGTATGTATGTATGTGTGCATGTGTCTGTATCTGTCTGTCTGTGTCTATGTGTGTGTATCTATGTGTGTCTGTATGTGTGTGTGTCTGTTGGGGGTGGGTGGGCGGGAGAGGGAGGGAATTGGGGGGCCCACGGATCAGTTTTGCACCGGGGCCCAGTGGATTGTATGTATGCCACTGGTTATGATGCAAAAAATCTGTGGGAATGTTTCTCTTGGGTTTGTGTCAAAAACACATCCTAGAACGTTTCACACAAACGAGAAAACATGGTTGCAGACCTCTGGTACCATAGTGGTTATTAGACTGGGATTATACCATCCGTGCACTACACAGCAGAGCTCTAAATAGCTCTATTATATGTGAGTGGTTTTCTTAGCGATTACTTACACCATTTGCATTGTATGATTATTATTATTATTATTTTATTATTTATACAGCGCCAACAAATTCCGTAGTGTTGTATTGCACTATTATTATGTTCTCTTTTCCCCTGAGGCTTACATCATTCCCTGAAGGTTTATGTATGTATGATCTCTGAGGCGCAGTACACACCACACTTTATTTTTCTGTTTATCCACCACACAAGGTTTTTGGGAACCCTTGTATTGATACCGCAGCCTTTTATTGTAATTTAGTGAGTGCCTATACCCTTCGGTTTTCTTCAAATAGACTTGTATATGTCATAGCAAACTGTGCCCCCACCAATTTTGAACTACAGCTTCCATTTTTTTGTAATTAGACAATAGCTTTAAACTTGTGATGAAGGTTTATTTTCTGTTAAAATTGTGTGATGGTTATATGAGAAGAGTTTTAAAAATATAATCAGAACGCAACAAGAAAAGTCAAAAACAGTCATAAGAAATAGATTTTATTCACTAAACAAATGGTTGGGAAGATTAAAAATAGTAGAATACCATAGACTGTAAGCTCGTTTGAGCAGGGTCCTCTTCAACATATTGTTCCTGTCAGGTTTTTTCTGTAATTGTCTTATTTATTGTAAAATTTTCCCCTCTTATAATATTTTAAAGCAGTACAGAATTTTTCGGCCAATATAAAATGCCAATAATACACAGTAAATTGTGTTAAGCTGACAACAGACATAAACTTTGGCCAAAAAGTTGGAAATAATCTCCAAACTCTACAAATTGGTGATTTGTATCAATTTAGCTATTTTGGTCAACATTTTAGAAATTGTCTCTCAATGAGCCCCAATTTAGTTATTTTGACTGCAGTTTTGCTATTTCGATATTAAACGCCACACTATTTATTATATACAGGATTATTATCAAAGTGAATTCAAAGTGAATTTTAAATGTAAGTCCCAAAAGGCAGAATTTAAAAAAAAATCTTTAAGTTAGCTATAATACACTTTTAACTAACTTTGAATTTCTGACATTCTCACTTTAGTCAATAACTCTGTGTTCCTTTAGACCACTGAACGGCTTTATTAAATAAATAATTATAAATACAATTTCCAGTTCCTGGACACAAAGGTATTATTAGTCAAGAGTCCATCTGAAAGATGGACATATGGTCACTACTTCAGTGCGATGTGTGATGACAGTAATTGTACCGAACGCTTCTAAATGTATATTTCAGGAGCTATATAATTTCTCAAAAACTATAATCTAGAAGGCAAGTACCAGCAATATACAACTTACTTGGCAGTGTGCTCCAGCCCCTTAAGGCACTCAGCGGCTCATAATTATTTTACACATATCTATCATTTTTAGAGCTCGATGCGTATGACAGTCCCCTCTGGCAGGAAAATGGTTAAGCAGCATAAAAGCCACCCTATAAGTTCATGTCAGGAAATGTACAGATACCCTCTTTCATGATCTATCTGTAGATTAAAGGATTTAATTAATAAGCCACTGTGACCTATTACTGTGACATACATCATTATAAAAGAAGTCATTTGTAGAGCCCGGATGGTCGTACCATCAACATTCACGTTCTCTCTTCCCGTTCAACTCTAACAAGGTGCATGTATAATCTCAGTTTTATTGATCTGAAATATTGATCAAGGATTCTCATTTTGGTACAGGTGAAATTGGTAACACATATTATCGTCCTTTCTGTTGTACACTGATATATTAGTTGAGCCTTCCCATTGGTTTTACTGTCTGGTAAGACAGCATGTGCATCAAATTGCATTACCCCAGTCTGTTGTTTGACTGCAACTCTCATATCTGTTCTAGTTAATTGGCTAGTAGAGAATTAAGAGGTTTTGCAGTTCAATGACAGCTGTGGGACACATTGCTTGACACACCATTGTAATAGTGTAGTTGACATTGAAAGATGTTTTTTTTTTCACTGTTGACTCGATAGGGTTTTTCAAGGACAGACTAGAGACTGTATGGTTATGACAGCTACCAGGAGGCTTTTTATAACAATTACTAAAAAAAAACACCAATATTGTGTCTAGAATTAAAGTATGTTAGTGAAAGCAAGCAATCCTAATTGCTTGTTATGAGTGTAATGTAATTGTAAGTAGTGTAATTTAATAATTCAGCACAAGAAGGACTTGAAAATGATTCACCTAATGTACAATATAATTAAATCAAATGGGCAAAAAAAATTCCACCAACTCCACCCCATACGTGCTTTTAAAAAAATACACTATTTACTCAGTATGGCAGAAACCAACCCATGCCAGCATGTGTGCCAACAAAGTCCTGCTCCGATATGTGATGTACATAACCCATCTTTCCATGAATCCCTCACATTCCAACTTACACTTCCATACATGACCCACATGCCAAACCCACCTACTCTAATTCTACACTGTCACGCACAATGTGTATATGTACATATTAGGAACGTAAAATAAGACTCTGACATATATTACATGAAAGATGTAGGAAAGTAAATAAAATAAATCTTGTAAAATAATAATTTGATATAAGTTTCACCTAATGCTAGCAAAATGGTCTAGTAAACGTGTTTTTTCACAGTCAGGTAATGTAGTAGGTCATGCTGTCTGTCTAAAACAAAGCAGTGGAACCCACTCTGTCATATATTCCTTTGCTCATTCCAGAAATGATTGCCATAGAAACCCTGACACCACTTGTTACGTAACAAGGGGTGTTACATATGATGATAGGGCAATGATGGAAGACATTTATCATTGATAAAGGGACAGGGACCTGAAATGTCTGTACTTTGAATAAATTTGGGCTGCACTTTGTGGATTAATACTTTGGATTGCTATATTTTGCTTGCTGTTTGGACTACAGCAGCTTATACATATTAGCTGCACTAGATTAAACTATTTTGCCTTTTTCTATTGTGCTATAACACACTCATATCATATATTTTTGATGTTGTGAGTTGTTCATACACTGATCAGCCACAACATTAAAACTACCTGCAGAATATCGTATAGGTCCCCCATGTACTGCCAAAACAGCTCTGATGCATTGAGGCATGAACTCTACAAGACCTCTGAACGTGTCTTGTGGTATCTGGCAGCAAGACATTAGCAGCAGATCCTTTAAATCAGGGGTGGGGAACCTTTGGCCCTCCAGATGTTGTGGACTACATCTCCCTTATTGCTGTAAGAGCATTATGGGAGATGTAGTCCAAAACATCTGAAGGGCCGAAGGATCCCCACCCCTGCTTTAAATCATTCAAGTCGAGAGGTGGGACATCTATCGATTGGATTTGCTGTTTCACCACATCCCACAGATGCTCAATTGGATGGAGATCTGGGAAATTTGGAGGCCAAGGCAACACCCTGAACTCTTTGTCATATTCCTCAAACCTTTTAACAAATTTTGCAGTGTGGCTGTGTGCATTATCCTCCTGAAAGAGGCTACTGTCATCTACTGTCATCAGGGAACACATAGAAACATAGAAACATAGAATGTGACGGCAGATAAGAACCATTCGGCCCATCTAGTCTGCCCAATTTTCTAAATACTTTCATTAGTCCCTGGCCTTATCTTATAGTTAGGATAGCCTTATGCCTATCCCACGCATGCTTAAACTCCTTTACTGTGATAACCTCTACCACTTCAGCTGGAAGGCTATTCCATGCATCCACTACCCTCTCAGTAAAGTAATACTTCCTGATATTATTTTTAAACCTTTGTCCCTCTAATTTAAGACTATGTCCTCTTGTTGTGGTAGTTTTTCTTCTTTTAAATATAGTCTCCTCCTTTACTGTGTTGATTCCCTTTATATATTTAAATGTCTCTATCATATCCCCCCTGTCTCGTCTTTCCTCCAAGCTATACATGTTAAGATCCTTTAACCTTTCCTGGTAAGTTTTATCCCGCAATCCATGAACCAGTTTAGTAGCCCTTCTCTGAACCCTCTCTAAGGTATCAATATCCTTCTGAAGATACGCTCTCCAGTACTGTGTACAATACTCCAAGTGAGGTCTCACCAGTGTTCTGTACAATGGCATGAGCACTTCCCTCTTTCTACTGCTAATACCTCTCCTATACAACCAAGCATTCTGCTAGTATTTCCTGCTGCTCTATTACATTGTCTGCCTACCTTTAAGTCATCAGAAATAATCACCCCTAAATCCCTTTCCTCATATGTTGAGGTTAGACTCTATCAAATATTCTGTACTCTGCCCTTGGGTTTTTACGTCCAAGATGCATTATCTTGCACTTATCCACATTAAATGTCAGTTGCCACAATTCTGACCATTTTTCTAGTTTACCTAAATCATTTGTCATTTGGCTTATCCCTCCTGGAACATCAACCCTGTTACATATCTTAGTATCATCAGCAAAAAGACATACCTTACCATCAAGACCTTCTGCAATATCACTAATAAAAATATTAAAGAGAATGGGTCCAAGTACAGATCCCTGAGGTACCCCACTGGTGACAAGTCCAAGCTTCGAATATATTCCATTAACTACAACCCTCTGTTGCCTGTTACTCAGCCACTGCCTTACCCATTCAACAATATTTGAATCCAAACTTAAAGATTGCAGTTTATTGATAAGCCTTCTATGTGCAACAGTGTCAAAAGCCTTACTGAAATCTAGGTAAGCAATGTCTACTGCACCACCCTGATCTATAATTTTAGTTACCCAATCAAAAAAATCAATAAGATTTGTTTGGCATGATCTCCCTGAAGTAAACCCATGTTGTCTCTGATCTTGAAATCCATAACACAATTGCCATGATGGGTGTATTTGATCTTTGTAGATGGTACATGTCAAAGTAACATCCACATGAATGCCAGGACCCAAGGTTTTCCAGCAGAACATTACCCAGAGCAAAACACCGCCTCTGTCAGTCTGCCTTTTTCCCAAAGTGCATCCTACTGCCATCTGTTCGCCTGGTATATGACGCTCATGCACCTGGCCACCCATCTGATCTAAAAAACAAAAACATGATCACACCAGGCAACCTCACCCATTGCTCAATGGTCCAGTTCATGTTCCCATTTAAGGCACTTTAGAAGGTGGATAGGGGTCATCATGGGCTCTCTGAGCTGCCTGTGGCTACACAGCCCCATGCGCAGCAAACTGCGATACACTGTGTGTTTTTTTTTTTTTAATTCTTTATTTTTCAATTTTGGAAATTTCGCATAAAGAGTAAGACAAACGTTATAGCATACCGGCTTCTACAAAAGCCTGTAGTACATGTCGCGCAATTCAACTTAGTTATACATTATGTATTTCAGTACATTATCCTTTTACTCATTTCTGCTGTCAACCAAGTTGTGTTTTTTAGGAGAGTACACTGAAGATAGCAATAATCGGCTGCCGGTACGCCCTTCCGCCCTTGTACCTATTTTTTTTTTCACCTTCTGTATCTACAGAGCTTGTACCGCCATTTTGCTTATCTTTTTTTGTCTGGCATACACTTGGTCCCATGTAAAGCATGGGGTAAGAAAAGAGAAAGGAAAAGATAGACATTTAGAAAGAGATGGGGGGCACTGGAGCGCGTGGCGGGGAACAGGGGTGGCTGGTCCTTAATGCTTGTGACTATGTTGTATTTACACTGTGTATTTTGATACCTTTCTATCATGTCCAGCATCAAGTTATTGAGCAATTTGAGCTACAGTAGCTTTTCTGTTTGACCGAACCAAACGGGCCTGCCTTCACTCCTCACATGCATCAATAGGCCTTGGGTGCCCCTGACACCATTTTTTCTTCCTTGCACCACTTTTGGTGGATAGTAACCACTGCATGTGGGAACACTACACAAGACCTGCCATTTTGGAGATGCTTGGAGTCAGTCACCTAGCCATCACTATTTGGCCCTTGTCAAAGTACTCAGATCTTTTCGTTTGCCCATTTTTCCTGCTTCCAAAGCATGAAATTAAACAGCTGATTGCTCACTTACTGTGTGCTATATCCAATCCATTGACAGGTGCCATTGTAACAATATCATCTATTTTAGTCACTTCTCCTGTCAGTGGTTTCAATGTTGTTGCTGATTGGTGTAGATGTTATGTATTACAGATGCCTACACACGGGATATTTCACACACTCAAAACTAATCAAAATGTGTCACATTTATCTATGGTTTCACCCATATTGGTCATTTTTTTTAACAAGAACCTTACCATTGATATAACCTTAAGTTAGTGTTGTCAACCATTCATCCTCCATCTCTTGTTATTCTGACACCAAGAATAGAGCCTAATCTCTTGAGTTTCAACTAAATCTTGACAGATATGAACACCTTTAAAGTACAAAATAAGAGCCATTCCCTCTTATAGTAAGGCGAGCTGGCATCCCATAGCATTGACTTTATTGATCCTAGACTATTAGGTGATCAAACTGAACAGTGACTTCCGCAAATGAAAAGTGTCCTTATGGGATGCACACAACAAAGGACTCTGAAAATACCTATATTTGGGAGCTCTGCACAATTTTGGTTAATTAAGTTCTCCTCCATTTGCACAGACTCATTGTCATTTTCTTCTCAGTTTCTGTTTACCTGACCTCAATACCTGCCTCATTAGGTTGAAGGAATGCAAGGACTCTTGGAAGTTGACCCACTATTAAGATTTTGGTTGCCCACAATAAAAAAAAAGAAAAGAAACACTGGTATGTCCCCTTTAAAACATTTGGGGAAACTTTTTTATAGCTATGTTTCAACTAAGATACATTCTTTGAGATAGGAAATGCCTCAAAGCATAAACCAAAGTTATTTAAATCATAAACAAACATATTTAAAAAGCTAATAGATTGTAACAAAACACTTAATTTTTATGTTCATACAGTAAGTATCATATGAAGCAGCCATCCTTCCCTGGGAACATTTATCATGATTCTAACATGTATTAACTCAAGAAACTAGCACTGAAGTGACTCTAACATTGCTCCAGACTGCTTAAAGGACCACTATAGTGCCAGGAAAACATACTTGTTTTCCTGGCACTATAGTGCCCTGAGGGTGTCCCCAACCTCAGGGACCCCCTCCAGCAAAGCTCTGGGGAGAGGAAGGGGTTAAACCTACCTCTTTCTCCAGCGCCAGACGGGGAGCTCTCCTCCTCCTCTCCTCCTCTTTGGCTGAATGTTCATGCGCGGCAGGAGCTGGACCTGGCACCCAAACCACCTCATTAAGCTGAAGTGGTCTGGGTGCCTATAGTGGTCCTTTAACGTCTCAGACATTATCCCAGTAAATCAACCAACAAAACACACTGACATGGGACAAGGCCAGCATGTTAGTAATGTAAAGGGCAGTGGAGATCTCCTTTATACAGCCGATAGCTTTGCATGCTACTTTACCGAAAAGATTAAACAGCTTAGGAAAGAATTCTCCACCACCCAGCCTTTCTCTATCTCAACCACATGTAGATCATGCCTTTCCTACCCTTCAGGTTTTCTCCCCGGCTACTGAACAAGAGGTGGCTGCGCTTTTCCTTTCATCTCGCTCCACCACTTGCCCACTTGATCCTGTCCCATCTCACCTTATCAGATCTCTCTCCCCTTGTCTTATGCCTTCCTTAACATACATCTTCAACTGCTCTCTCTCTTCTGGCATTATCCCTGCTGACCTTAAACATGCCACTGTGGTACCTATGCTGAAAAAAACATCTCTCGACTCGTCCTCCCCCTCTAACTATCATCCCATATCACTGCTCCCTTTTTCCTCAAAGCTTCTGGAAAGACTTGTCTTTACTCGTCTGTCTCACTTCCTCAATTCCAACTCTCTACTTGACCCTTTTTAATCTGGCTTCCACCCCTCCACTCTACTGAGACTGCTCTTATCAAAGTTACTAACAACCGAATCGCAGCTATATCCAAAGTCCACTTCTCCAAACAAATTCTTCTTGACCTCTCTGCTGCCTTTAACACAGTTGATCATGCTCTCCTTCTTCAAACTCTTCAATCAGTCGGTCTCTGTGACTCTGTCCTCTCATGGTTTTCCTCTTATCTCTACCAACGCTCATTCAGTGTCTCCTTTTCTAATGATACCTCCTCCCATTGTCCTGTCTTGGTTGGAGTCCCCCAAGACTCTTTCCTTGGTCCCCTTCTATTGGTAAACGTATTACCTTATCTGGATTCCACTACCACTTGTACGCTGATGACACCCATATATAGCTCTCCCCTACCGTCCTTTCTTTCATCTCTGACTGGATGTCCTCCCTCTTTCTGAAAATAAATCTCTCTAAAA